CTCCTCAGAAGGAAGGTTGGGCAATCCTACTTCCATAGTGATACTGCCTCAGAAACCCAAGGAGGGGTCGCTATGAGTCGGAGCCGACTCGACGGCAAATAACAACAACAGAGTGGTTATGAGGACCTAATAAAACAGTTATGTCAAAACACTAAGTAAACTGTTATGGGCTACATAAACGTTAGGTGTTATTACCAATTTTAGACAATTCACAATATATTTTTTTTTTCTTTTTGTCATTTGGGTGAAAATTTACAGAGCAAATTCACTTTCCATACAGCAGTTCACATACACTTTGTCTCATGACACTGACTAAAATTTACCACAATTCAACAGCTCTCCTCCCACTTCCTCCTGAAAGTTACCTCTTCCCTGTGTACATCCTTCCATACACTCCTGCCCCCTGAGCTGTCACCCTGTGCATAACAGCCTTTCTTTCTCCCATGATTATTCTCTCCAAAGAGTGTATCTACCTCAGGTAAATGTTCAATTCATATGCCTGTCTTTTCACAATATACTTTTAAAATAAACTCAATTAATTCCCAGAACTCAAAGGAAGTATATTTTCTCAGCCTTTCTCAAGCTTAGGAAACTGAGGTTCAAAGACTTATCCATGGTCACAATGCCAACAACAGTTGAAAGGGACTAGAACTCAGTTCTAGGAATCCAGAGTCCAGTGCTACCCATAAGTACAACCACACTCAAGCAACTCTCCTTCATATACGGGCAGATTGCTAGCATTCTGTTCACTAGCACAAGGTTTCTTAAAGGCTTTAGTGAGATTATCACCAACTTGAAATTAAACCTCTTGTGGAAACAAATTTTGATGATCTTTATTTCCCCAAGCAGTCTATGGCCCAGCGAGAACTGAAATAACAAATTTAGTATCTTTATATAAAATTCTTAGTTTGCTCACCTTCTAAGAGCAAAACACACAAAATCCAGCAAACTCAAAGAACAACTCTATTTCCATTGGTGCTGCAATTTTGCGACTTGTTTAAAAGCTCTGTATACATTGTTCCTAATGTTAGTTACACAGGTAGAAAAATTCCCACAAGGCCCAACGTGCACCCTTCTATCACGTCCAGAATTCCTTCTTGCATTAGTAAGTTAAGAGAAAAATTAATGTCACTGAAAGACTTATGACTATTAGAAATTGCTGCTTTTTATCTACAAATTTTAAATCCCTATAACTATAATAATCCTAGACACCAAAGCACAGGAAAGGCTTGTCTCCTCAATCTAATGTGAAATTTTTCTTGGTGAGGAAAAGAGCCAAAAACTGGGCTAAGGGGAGACTCAGTGCTCCCAAATCCCTACCTTTGCTCAGACATCTCTGTGGAGAACCTGAAGGCTAGTCCAAACCAGAATCAAACTGTGTAATTTACTTACCCACTAGAGTGAGTGGCTGCTATATCCTCATAAGTCATTAAGAACGAGACTCCCAAAACACTGACTTTTCTTAAAATTAAAAGTTCCCGACAGGCTCTTCTTTTTGCTTAACTTCTGTATAGTGCCTAACTATATGTCATAAAAATGGACAGTTTGAAAGCATTCTCAAGAGGTATTGCTATTACTTCATAATGATAATTAATATAATAGATTAAGCAATAAATAATAATAGCAATATAAACATTTATCCAACATTTATTTTTCAATATAAATAACCAAAATTAAAACTTCTCCCTTTTGACAATGTTCCTCACCTTATCTGGAGTTCAAGAGGCAGTTCTTTTTCCTCTTCCCATATAGTCATATCTACAATGTATTTTATCACTGAAGGGAATATCTTCCTGGCTTGAGCAATTACCTCTTCATTCAATGGACAACGTGAATTCTGTAAAAAAGTATAGAATGACATACCACCAACGTTACTTACAAATAAATGGATAAGGAAAATAATGTTGTTAATTAAAATAATCATTTTAATAGAGTTTACTACACCATCTCCCAGGAACAAATTGAAGCTGTGCTCAAGAGGCTTGATATTCACATCAGTTTAGCTTAACCCCGTGTGGTGAAGTTGGCACTACAGATGAGAAAAAGGTAGAACAATGGAGCTCCCCTTTGGTGATACTCTCCCCTATGAATCTTTTTCTCTGCCTTTCTGAGTAGCTTAATTATGATAATATCATATGAGAATTGGTTTTATAGCTTATAAAAACTTTCCTCATAATGTATTTCAACTGATCCTCATAGCCACACTGTAAAAAAGGCAGAGCAAGTATTAATCACATTTAAAAGATAAGGAACAAATATTGTTATAAAAGAGAAGGAATGCAGAATAGGTTATGTAATCTGTACATAGCACAAAACTAAAATCAAAGTCTTTTGACTCCCAAATAAAAGAATGTTCTTTCCATTACTGAACACTGCTGCCTTAATAAATGCAATGTTCAACCCGTCCAGTTAAAAACCAATGCAGAATGCTCCCCATCATAAGCTATTTTGGTTGATGTTAGTAGTTGTCAAGTCCATTCTAACTCGTTGTGACCCCAAGTGTGCAGATAAGAACTGCACTTCATAGGGTTTTCAAGTCTGTGACCTACTGGAAGCAAACTGCCAGGCCTTACTTTTCCCAGACACCTCTGGGTAGATTTGAAAAACCAAACTTTCATTTAGCAGTCCAGGACTTAGCAACTATGCCACCCTTTTAAGCCACTGTTGTTATTGTTGGATGCTGCTGAGTCAATTCCAACTCATAGTGATCCCATGTGACAGAGTAAAAATGTCCTACAGAGTTTTCCTGGCTGTAATCTTTACAGAAGCAGATTACCAAGTCTTTCTCCTGCAGAGCCACTGGGTGGGTTCGTTGTGCCACCAGAGCTCATACCACTTCCTAGAATAATGAAGATATCACTTCACATCCATGAGGATGGCTATAATCAAAAAGGCAGACAGTAAGAAATACTGGTAAGGATGTGGAGACATTGGAACCCTGACACACTGCTAGTGGGAATGTAAGATAGTACAGCCACTTTGGAAAACAGTCTGGCAGTTCCTCAAATAGTTAAACACATACTACATGAAAAGTTGTACACAAATGTTCAAAACAGCATTGTTTATAATAGCTAAAAACTAGAAACAACTCAAATGACCATCAAATGATAAATGGTTAAATAAAATGTGGCATATCTATATAATGGAATACTACTCAGCATAAAAAGAATGAAATACTAATACATGTTACAGCATGGATGAACCTTGAAAACATCATGCCAATTGAAAGAATCAGTCACAAAAGACCACCTATTGTATACCATTTTTATAAGATGTCCAGAACAGGCAAATCTCCAAAGACAAAGTAGATGAGTGGTTGTCTAAATCTGAAGAAGTTGGGGAAAAATGGGAAGTTACTGCTAGTGGGTACAGGGTTCCTTTCTGAGGTCATGAAAATGTTCTAAAATTGACTGTAGTGATGGTTGCACAACTTTGTGAATGTACTAAAAACCACTGAATTATAGTTTAAAAAGGTGAATTTTGTGCTATATGAATTATGTCTCAATAAAGCTGTTTTAAAATGAGTAAACAGGCTCTTTCAGGCAAAAAATAAATAAATAAAAATCCAGGAGTAATTCATCAGGCTTTTAATATTGAATTTTAAACTGCTATACACTGTAACAATAAACTTTTTTATTCGTTGGCCACAGAACCACTAATGGCCCACATAATCTTTAGTACCTATTCTGTCTCACTCCCTCAGTATTCTATGATTTCAATTTTTACCCTTTATTTAATATGTCCTCTTTTCTCTGGAAATTTTGCTCAGTAGCCTTTACTGCAGAGATAGAAACAGTACAAAGATACTAAGACCAGTACTTGCTAACTTCACTCGTGTTTTCTATCATTGTTTGAGTTCAACATTTCCTTTCAACTCTTCAAAAAAGTAGTCTGAGGTGAAAAGTTAAAAGAAACTACTCATTACTTGTATATCATATCATTCAGAAGCTAAGTTCTTTGGAAGACGTTTAGTAGGTACATAAGAAACTTTTTTTTTTTTTTTAATTTTTATTGTGATTCAGGTGAAAGCTTACAGAGCAAATTCATTTTCCAACAAGCAGCTCACATACACTTTGTCTCATGACATTGACTGCAATGTCCCACAAGGCAACAGCTCCCCTCCCACTTCCTCTCTATAGTTACCTCTGTCTTGTGTCCTTCCCTCCCACGCACTCCTGCCTCCTGAGCTATCTCCCTGTGCATACACAGCCCTTCTATTCTCCCATGATTGACCTCTCCAAGGAGTTTATCTACCTAATGTAAATGTTCAGCTCACACGTCTGTCTTTTGTTTGGCTGGAAGCTATAGAAGTGGGTTCAATTCCAGACCTGAAGGACAGCTAGGGGCCATAGTCTCAGTGGTTCCATCAGGCTGTATCACAATGGCAAACCCGGTCCCTTTTTTTCTTTTTAATGATTTTGAGTTTTATTCCACATTGTTCTCCCATTCTATCCAGGATCTCCTACATCCGATCCCCCGAGTGGTTGACAGGGGTAGCTGGGCATCATCTAGTTCTTCTGGTCTAATAGTTGTATAGCCTGAGGATCACATGGTGTACCTGTCCCTTGGACTAACTGTTTTCGTGCATCTTTGGTTTTCCTCATTTTTCTTTGCTCTGGATTAGGAGAGACTCATCGTTGCATCTGGATGGCTGCTTGCAAGCTTTTAAAGATCTGTAGCTACTCACCAAAATAGGATGTGGAACAATGTTTTTGTATACTATGTTATGCCCATTAAGCTTGATGTCCCCTGCAACTATGGTCCCAAGCCCACAGGTCCAACTATTCACTCCCTCTGGGTAGCTGGCTATGGCCAAGAAGTGACTACAACCTTGTCCCTTGTCAGCTCTACTATATACCTGGGAATTCTTACAGAACATACAAATACACTTGTGGAAACATTGTTTGCCAACCCTATACATGGTCATGGGCACATTGCCTCCTGCGTAGACATACCTAATAGTTCAGCCTGTCCACCCATCTATCCACCCGTATATCAATGTTAGCCTTCACTGACAACACAGTACTGTATGTGCAAAAGGGTTCATCTTTGTTGTCTGTACCTCCCATGCAAGTAGGTACATAAGAAACATTTGAGGAAATCATTTATAGCTTAGAAAATAAGTTCAATGGAGAGGGGAGGGCTATAACTTAAATGGAAAGAAAAAAAAATCTTAATAATTAACCAGAAATATACTGCAGGACTAGGGAAAATCTGCTTTAGATATACTAAAAAGGCACTTCTCTTCAAAAGACATTGCCAAATGCCAGATGAGTGGCTATTAGCATTAGTCCAGCTCTGATTACACTTGGAAAATTCTCATTACACTTGGCACAATGCCATACACCTGGTAGAGTGTAGATTTCACATCCATCAAAGCAGAGATGAACAAAATGCTAAGTATGCAGGATTGTTTGTGCTATATGAATTGATAATTATATGGTGGCCATAAGGTGCCTTTTGCTCAACTCCAGATCATGAACAGTTCAAGAATATCCACGTTTACCTTTAGAATAAGCCTCAAAGACCAAAATTGCTATTTAAATCTAATTATAAATCCAAGGAAATCTAAGCTCAAGCAAGTTCAGTGTTGAAGTCATTGTTCTAAGGCCATATGATTTAAGATAACCCTCAAACAAAGCAGAATCCTTTGATGCGTATGTGTTTGGCAGGGGTAGGGTGCATTTTGTACACTCAAGAAGCCAACTACTACCAAGCATTCCTTAGCTACACTCAAGTCCACAAATGGTCTTCTGTAACGGCCAGTCACGGAAAGATATAAAAAGCCACAAAACACTCTCTTAGCATATATACCAAAATAGCACCCCCCCAAAAAAAAAAAAAAAACCAAACTCACTGCCATTGAGTCAGAGCTGACTCACAGCAACCCCTTCTTGGGTTTCTGAGGTGGTATGACTACACAAGTAGATTGCCCAACCTTCCTTCTGAGGAACAGCTGGTAGGTTTGAACCGCCAGCCTTCTAGTTAGCAGTCAAATGCCTTAGGCACTATGCCACCAGAGCTCCCTCATAGCTAGTTAGTGGGCTTATAATTCAAACCTAGGGCACTTGTCCATGATGTTATAGTCTACTGGTTCTACTCAAATGAAAAGAATGTGCTTTATTTCTCCAAATATAATTCTTCCATTTCCTCCCATTTAGAGTTTTGCAAACTCTATGTATGTGAGTGTTCTCACAGCACAGATATACAGACTATTAGGAGTTTCTTAATGATGGACCATTATCCTTACTCAAATGAAAAGAATGTGCTTTATTTCTCCAAACATAATTCTTCTATTTCCTCCCATTTAGAGTTTTGCAAACTCTATGTATGGGAGTGGTCTCACAGGACAGATATACAGAATATTAGGAGTTTCTTAATGATGGACCGTTATCCTTGTCATATATCATATATTTTTTCCCCCAGTTTGTCACTAATTTTATGACTTGCTATTTGCTATAAAGGAGAAAACTTTTGTGAAGTCGTATTTATCGATCTTTTCCTTTCTGTGGCATATATATTTTTAAATCTTAGCAAGGTTTGATGTACTGCAAGATTAATCTTTTCAATTCACCTACATTTTCTTCTAATGAGTTTGTATTCTTTTTTCCTAAAAGAGCCCCAAACTTTTTATCTTTGATATTTCTGGGATTTATCTGATATTAACACTGATCAAACTTTACTTTTCCCCCCTCAAATGAGTAGTTATCCCAACACCATTTATTTTATTATTCCCCAACTGATCTGAAATGAAATTTTTACTATCAATTTGAGTTTAAATTCTCCTTTCTATTCCATTGACTTGCTGTTCATTCCTGTACCAGAGTCACACTGTTT